CCTTTTTTTAAGTGGAGAGGGCAGTTCTTTTCAAATATTTGCAAAAATCCTCCACTTTACCTTTAAGCAAGATCTCAAACAAAAAAATAAATGTCTATAACAAATTAATTTTAAGGACAAGTTGTTGTGCATAAAAAAAAACACTGGATTTATGATATAATTTAACACATGGCGTATCTTAAGCTAAAAAAAAGGGGGGAGATGCATTTGTTGTAGATGTGAGAATTTGCATGTGTATCCATTAGATTTCTAATTTTCACAGTATTACTTGCAAACCCTGCAACCCCCAGTCAACCATAATAACATGAGCTCTGGGATCTGACGCACAGCACATAGTTAATGCATAGCCATTGGGTTCATGTTGTGATAGTGAACCATAGCTATGCCCAAGACTACTGACAGAATGAGAGGAAGACTGATGGTGATGATTATATTTGGTTTCTTAGATGCTTGTGATGCCTTGTGAAACTAGGACAGTTTTTGTCAAGCTTTTTTTTCCGTCAATGTTGTTTACACAAATGTTGGTCCCTGGAGGGTAAATAATAAGCAAGGGAAAAAAAAAGAAAAAGCAGACCAGGATTGCTTCCATTGCTATCAGCAGGGTTCGGGGGGTGATATAAACTCCACACCACAAGGCATTTGTTTGTGATGGCAGAGTTGTAAATGTCTGTTATTACCATTCCTTACATGTTCTATACTCCCTGAAAAGGAAGGTCAGGATTTGTTGTTGCTTTCAATGCCTTTTATTCCTCCTACCTTTTTTTCCATCAGTTTTCATTGTTATTGATTGGCATTGATGCTGCACAGAAGTGACTGTTGAAAACTGAAAGAAAATTGCTTTTTAATTCTTAGAGAAAAGTCAATTTTAAACTCTGCTCTGCTGGGCTTTGTGTCTTTTTCTTGAACATCCTTTTTTAAATTAACTGCTTATTTTCAGTTAACTTCAGGTGAGCAGAGATGTTTGCCATTGGTTTGTTAAAGAAGAGTAAATGCTAAATTTCATCAGTCTATCATTCACCTTTGTGATGGCTTATATAGTGCAACAAATTGCACCCTACTGACTTCAGTTTCAGTATATTACATCAACTCAGTTTTCGACCAAAAAATAAGTAGTAATAACTTTAACTCATATTGACACATTTTATTATCTGTGTGCATATAAGAAATCTTTTAATATTGCAGTTCTTATCTTCTTTTTTTTCCCTAAAGCCTAGCAACTGCATTGCATATGATATGATAATCCGATGATATTGCTTTCTGGATTTTCTGTCTGCTTAAGGTTTCACTCAAATATAATTGGTCTCATTTTCATTCTTGCTTTTAAAGAGAAACTTCACTAATCCTATTCCTGTTATTTTTTTTATTTGACAAACTGAGAGAAATACCTAAAAGCAAAGGTATTCTCTTTTTGTCATAACTGTAAAATGGTAATGATATGCACATTTTAGCCCTACCGGTTTGCAGTGTACAATAAATTCGGTATAAGAATGGAAAAAGGAAATGAATAGCTTTTAATAATACCCTAAATTATTGCAGGATGACAATTTTAGGATAACTGACGTCTATTATATGTTCAACTAAATGTAAACCTCATTCTCCAACAATAAGATCCTTTTAAAATAGCTATGACTATATATCAGAAACAGAATTTCTTTGGAGTCTTTTATATATATCTTCAAATATGGATCATGGTGGATAATAAAATGGTGGATTTTTATTTTATTCTACCTGTATTACTTTTTCTGTATTGTTCTTTAAACAAATGTTTGAAGACATATCATCCAGCTGTCAAGAAAAGAAAATATATCAAACCGCACCAGAGGAACAAAAACAATCTAACAGGAGTAAAAGAGAGAAAGGTGCAGTTTGAGAAAATTTTACATGCCTTACTGTATTTAAACCATTTTTCTGAGATATAAACATGATCCAAATAAAACTTGTATGGTCATAGAATCAAAGGTCAGACTGGACCTTTTTATATAGACTTGCCAGTGGGTTCTGGGGCTGCCAAAGGGCCCTCTACTTAGTGGGAAATCTATAAAGGCAGATATTTAGAAGGTATCTTGAACCACCTCAAATTATTCCTTATAAATGAAATCATTATGAAATACTGATTATGATCATATTTATATAGCCCCATGATTTTGCTGACGCTTAAAATGTCGGTAAAATAATTTCTTTCAACTACAAGAAAATCAATCTAGTTATTTTTTTCGTGTTTGGGATTTTCACCAAAAGTGTTTTCAGCTTTTATTCTGATGCTAAGAGTAAAAGTACTGTTAAAGTAATGCTGCAGCTACAATTTAGTTCATGTAATCTGATGATTTTTTATTGAGGACCTTATGACTGTGCAAGGCTAGTCTTCAAATAAAGTGATAAAGCCAAAATGAAACTTTTAAGGTTTTTAAAGTTATTCCTGAGAACAGCTTTTCCTGAAATATTCTACTGTTTCTTTTTTTCTCTGGATTTTAGAAAAACAATACATTAATAATAATAATGAATGAACTTTTTAAAACTCCAAATTAGAGGTCATTTTTTCCAAACAGACTGATGAAATTACGCAAAAAAAAACAACATATAGGTTGAGGTTTAGAATGTGTTTACTTTGAAAAACACAGGGAGATTCTACCCTTTGTTGCGGCACTTATACCATATGCTTTATGTTTTCCTTAAACTTTATTAAACTAAATATCTATTAACTTTATACTATAATATATACTATAATCAATGGAAACAATTTTTGAATTAGGGAAAAATATTAACTTATTTATACTATATATATAATTTTATATAGTATTTATATATAGCATAAAATTCCCTGTACACTTGATGCATGATAGAACACAATGAATACAACCTGTTTTTAAATTTTCTTTTAAACAACTTCTTTTCATTTTTTGTGTTCGTAATGCGTCCTGTATTCAGAAGGTTTCTGGTTAAAGCCCCGTCTACCAATCAGAGGATTTCTGGTTCAAGCCTTGTCTAAGTCATTGTGTCCTTGGCCTAATGATTGTGATCAGAGGGCCTTGTGGAACCTTTGTATGGCAGCCTTGCTTCTTCTATGTAATTGTGCCCCAAGGCAGCTGTGGCCACAATGTAGTCAATGCCGCAAGTGTGTGAAGTACTTTAAAAGCCAGTGTGTAGGGGAAGTAAGAATAAATCAAGATATAAAATTTTAGAGAAAGTATTATGTATTGATTTTTATTTATTGTGTTGCTTTTTTCACCAGATAAGTTCAGGTTTGAAACAATATGGATTGTAGAATTATTTAAGGTTTTTATCTTTCTTTGCTGGGTATCAACAAGTTCTAACTCTTACAGCTGTTGATTAAGTGTATAAGAAGGATTGATTTGTGGAAAAAAAAGGCTTGCAAAGGTAGTATTAATGTTATACAAAAGCACCTGAAAGCTCATAAATCAAATGATAAAAACCTCGGTGAGTAAAAATGTACATTGTATGTGGCACTATAGAGAACACACTGGCTCTGTTTGTGCGCTTCTTTGAATCGTTTGTCAGAAATATTGATTCTAGTAAATCTTGTGTGGAATTGTGGGATGACTGAGCAAATCAATGACGTTGTGCTTACAGTATAGTGTCATATCTCATGTGTCACCCTCTAGGGCTGGAAAAACCCCAACCCACCAGCCGCAACCACCATCACCTGTTTTATCTTCTTTACTCAAATCTCCAACGACACACAAGCACCAAATACTGAGTGACGCTACAATGAATGCCTCTTTTGACTACTGCCTCTCACACAGAAGCACATTACATGCATCTAAGATGCAGTCGCCCAGAGTTATACATCCAAAGGAGTTGCCCGGTGTTGTCCCTGTAATTCAACTCTTTCCTCCAGATAGATGCTATCACTCAGATCTACAACTGCCATTATCAATCTTCCCTGTGCTACTTCTGCATCATTAGGTGAGAGTATTTTACTAAGAACTCTAACATAGGTTTCATTCCTTTCTTGTCCTCCCTTGCATTCCACTGCAAGTTGGCATAGTGCCAAGCTGTGCCATGCAGCGCAACAGTGCCCCCTAAAGGTTTAGTACCACCACACGTCAAACCTGACCAACAGAGTGATCTCACAGCCTTCCATTTATTTCACTTTCTCTCCTCCATTTTTGTCCACGTGTGTTCCACTAGATTATAAATGTGTGTTGTGTAGTGCTACTTTATTAGCAGAAAAATTAATAAGGCTCTGATAAAAAGCAGCATGGATTACGTTGAAATTTGAGGCTCATTATTGGCTAATCCTTTTTGAATTGGATGTGTATCAAGTTCCAGACAAGCTTTACTCAGTTCGCTGGTGTGATTTTAGAGAAGGAATTAAATTCAAGCTTAGATGATGAGGCAAAGCCCACAGTGACATTCACAATAGCTCTGTAGCAGTCTAATTATTGACTATTGTTGCTGCAGCAGGTGTTGAAAAGGTTACAAACTCTTTAGTGATATTACAGTGCACACTAAAATAAAAAAAAATATAAATAAATAAAAAATGAAAACACTTTTATGAGAAGAGAGGTGAAAAGTCTGCTTTTTTATGTTGGCAGCATTTTGCTGTGATGATAACATTTATCTGAGTAGATAGGCAAGAAAAAAATGTTTCTTTCACAAAGTACATTGAATCACAATTATTCTTGTGTAGATATAGTATGACAGTTTTCTAAACTGGGTGCTGAAGAGGAATAGTAAGGCTAGAAAATTGCTTACCCACTTGCATTTCCTTAAATATTGAATAGGTTTAATTATAAAACCAGCTTATAATTATTATCCCCAAATTATAATGCTGAGTCCATGATCAACTCCATTTTCCACACCTCTCCTTTTTTAATTTTAGACTGAGATACAGAGGATTTTTTTGGAGTTGTAACTCTGCAACACTTTGTTTCTTGAAACTATCTTATAGTGAGTCCCTAATCTAGACTGGCACTTCAGCACTGTGGAACAGGGCAGTTATAGGCAGTACTTATAGACCAGTAAAAGTGCTCCTTTACCTGCTGTCTGGTGTGCATGGGCCCCTTCGTTTTGAACCCTCCTTGGGAGCTGCTCTCTGAGGCACTGAAGTGGTCGGAGCTCGTGGAGGATCTCTTGGAAAGGGTGTCACAGCCCCCAACAAATGTGTTATCCAGTGGGAGTTCCTGAATCACATGATGCTTCTTGACTGAGACAGGTGTGTCGGCCTTGAGGTGGAAGGCCGATTGTGGCGAGGCTGACTTGTAGTGTCGAGCCAGGTCGGGGCTGCTTGGTTTGAATGTGGTAGTAGGTGTGGCATTCCAATCAAACCGTCCAATTCCTTGTTCTTCCAGCTCAGTGGGCAGACTGATGGTTCCGTTGATCGGTTCATGCGCAGGATCATCTGGTTTGTTTCCCTCGATGGTGACAAAGTTGAGCAAGGAGCTTTTGGGGGACTTTCGTTTCTTACGCTTTTTCTTTTTGTTTTGCTTGTTTTCTGTGTTGGGTGACATCCACTCAGCCCCTTGCTTTTTTCTTTGTGCAGCTTTAAATCTGGACGCATGGCGGCATCGCAGCAGCACAGTCACAAAGATGACAATAATCACCACCAATGCACCGGTAACAAAGGCTATCATTATAGTTAAATAGTCACCATTTTGATAAGTTTCACTGCTTTCACCAATGTTTCTGTCTATCGGGGTCTCCATGGTGCGCCGAATGAGATCATAAATGAGTGTTGAATTGCCCACAGTGTCATTGACATACAAAAACACTAGCACCAGGGTATGGAGTGATTTTGGATACCCCAGGTCACTGATATTGACTACTAATCTGTGCAAGCCTATGTCCGTTACTGCAGGCTTTTCTTCCAGCGTAATGTTTCCTGTCACAGGGTCAATTCTGAATAAACCTTTGTTATTCCCACTCACAATGGTGTATTTCAGTTCAGCGTTCATTCCTGTGTCCCCATCAACAGCAAACACCTCAGCTACCACAGATCCCGGAATAGAGGACAGAGGGACAAGCTTGAAAGAGGTGTTAGAGGGCGGGTAGATGACAATTGGTGTGTTGTCATTGACATCAATGACATTGATGGTCACCTTTGCAGCAGAGGAGCAAGGAGGTCTGCCACTGTCCACAGCCTTAACATCAAAAGTATAGGAGCTCTGTTGCTCCCTGTCAAATGACACATTAGATTTTATCACTCCAGAGTATGGATCTAGTATAAAGTTCTCATTGTCATTCAGTATAGAAAGAGAGACAGCAGCATTTTCTCCAGCATCTGAATCTGTCACAGTAATCACCCCTACTGTGCTGTATTTAGGCAGATTCTCTGACACAAAGAACTGAAAGTGGTTATGTGTGAATTTTGGGTTGTTATCATTTTCATCCAGCACAGTTACAATAACAGCTGCCTGTGTTTGCAAAGGGGGGGTCCCATTATCTCTTGCCGTTACAGTGAAGAGGAATCTGTCCTGATCCTCCCTATCAAAAACCCTAGATGCAGTTAGGACTCCAGTTTTGCGATCCAGATCAAAAAATGATGCATTTGGTCCCAGCTGATAGACTATTTCTGCATTCTTGCCACTGTCCTCATCTGTAGCTGTAAGGGTAGTGAGGAACAGGTCGCGTTTGTTGTTTTCCATGATGGCCAGCTCAATGACTGGCTGAGTAAAAATAGGTTGGTTGTCATTCTCATCTTCCAGCCTCACTCTCACCAAGGCTGTCTGATTCAAACTCGGCTTTCCAGAATCTGATGCAACTATTTTAAAGTTGTATTCCTTCGTCCCCTCATAGTCAAGCAGAGCAGATGTTTCTAGCAGATACTGGTTGTCATACACAGCTTTCAGATGGAAAGGTACATCCTTCTCTATGAAACAAATGACCTTGCCATTTATGTCAGTGTCTTTGTCTGAAACTGTGATGAGAGCAATCTTAGTATTGATGGGATCCTTCTCTGAGAGGAAAACAGTGCCGTTAATGGGACTGATGATGTATCTGAGGTCTATATTAGGTGGATTGTCATTAACATCAGTCACATTTATAGAAACAGTAGCTTTGGCAGGACTTGAGCTGCCATCACTGGCCAAAACAGAAAGCTTGTGAATGGCAGTTTCCTCCCTGTCCAGAGGTCTCTGCACTGTAATTAAGCCAGATGTTGCATTTAATGCAAAAAGTCTTTTAGTTGCAGGAGACACTTGAGTTCCAAATACATAATGTATGTCTGCATTTGCCCCTATGTCTGCATCTGTAGCCTGGAGCTGCACAACAGATGTGCCTATGGGGGAGTTCTCAGGTATATGCACCTCTATCTGACTCTCTTTGAACACCGGCTTGTTATCATTGACATCTGTTACAGTGACCTGAAGAATGGCAGTGCTGGATTTCTGTGGGCTCCCTCCATCCTCTACTTTAATTTTCATCACATAAGTATCCTTCTGCTCCCGGTCAAGATTCTGCTGCACAATAAGCTGGGGCCACTTCTCCCCCTCAGGCGTCTCCACAATGTCTAAACCGAAGGCACTTTGCCCATTGATCAGCTCGTATTTGTGGACACTGTTGGGGCCAGTGTCTGGGTCAGTGGCAGAAGGAATAGCAAAGCGGCTGTTAATAAGAGTGTTTTCTGGGATGGAGATGTTGATCACAGGGGATGGGAACATGGGGGCATTATCATTTGTATCTTTGACAATTATTTTTATCTTAATCAGTCTGAAATAATCATTAGGCAGGATGACCACTTCAATTTCAAAGGAGCACTCGCTGTCCTCAAATGAGAGTCCAGGGCACAACTTCTCTCTGTCTATTCTGTTTGATGTTGTGAATATCTCTCCAGTGTTGCTCAGAACACGAACCAGTGGGTTGTCTCCAGCTTTGGAAACCAGTCGGTACACAAGATTAGCACTTGCTCCAGTGGCAGCATTTGTATGGGAAATGTTGAGGTCCTTTGGTATATTTCCAATGAGGACATTTTCTTGCAATTCCTCCCTGATGGGATATATTAATTCTTGAGCAATGGAAGGATCAAGCCATATGCAGGCAAGCAGAGCACCCAACAGGTAATAGTCTTTCAGATCCATGACAATTTTAATTTTTCTCCAGGCTTTGCAATTTGACAATTTGCTTCTGTGCAGCGTCAACACTTATCGTCCAAATAAACACCTACGAATAGAGGAGAGAGTTTTTTTCAGTGAAGTTTCTTTGGATGCACAGTAATAAAATGTATGTAAGGTAAATTATTTCCTTTAATTTGGTATTCATTGAGTCTAATATTAAATCTAACAGTAAATGTTCAGCTGAATATTTAAAACATTGAAAAGAAAAAAAAACAGCAAGTAATAAACTGTAACAGTGTCTTTCTCCCTTTGCAAATCCTCCTGATTTCATGCTCACCAAGAATCTTCCACCCCATAGGCTGAAAAACTTCACAACAAATTACACAGTTTTAATAATTTCTCACTTAAACTAGCAACATTAAAGAGTTTAAGCTGTGTGTGTGGGCTCCTAAACAAATGAATGCACATGAATTAAGCTTATACAAAGTAAGCTCAGTGAGATGTTGCATTCAGTGGGCATCTGAGACTCATTCTTATCCTATATACATACCCCAAATCCGTTGCAGCAAGCAGAAAAAAAACTGGAGTGTGTTAGCTCATAGTCTTCTCATCCCTTGGTGCCATATGCAAGTTTGTTCAGGTAAAGAGACCCCTCTCTGCTGATAGGCGTTTTGTTCCAGAGAAGAGAGAGAGAGAGAGAAAGAAAAAAAGAAAAACCTTGTAGGAGTGATCAGACCTATGATATTTGGAGTAAAAACTGCAAAGCGCAAAAACTGGGGTTAATGCGAGGTTGCATAGCCAGTGTCGCAGTTCCTTTCTCCCAATTTAACTTCAGGGATGGACAGAGAATAACAAGGATTGATCAGCCCGGCTCTCCCGGCAGCCAGAGCAAGGTTATCAGAGGTCTGTGCTGCCTCTTATAAGTACGGATCCAGTGTATATATGCACACCTAGATATATAAATAAATGAATAGTGATCTCCCGTAAATGTCCCGAGAAAACCGTCTTTCTCCTTGTTTTTACCGGGCTACCTGTGAAGGTGAAGGTGCCGACGAGGTGAACGCAGGAGACACTCGTGTCCCGTCATGATTCAACCTCACGCAGCTCCATCAGGTACATGCACAAAAAAAGCATAAAATAAAAAGGATATATATTTATAAAAAAAAAAATGAGGTGCAAGACCTTAGAGTTAATCCCGCTCGGAGATGCCAAGCAACATGAAAAACCTCTACAGTGTTATACAGCGATGCTCATACTCCCGCTTATCCTCGCAGTCTCACTCCCAGAGCAGAATATCTTGCACTAACTCTTTGTAAACCCATAGGAGGGGTGGTGAAGTATACCGCTCTAACGCCCCCCTCCTCCCAACCCGCCGACCCTCGTCATTGGACACCGCCCATCTTTTTCAGCTGCGCTGTCAACCCGGAGCCGCTGCAGGATTGGTCCGCGGCCGCGTCACTCAAAGCGGTCCGGAGACGCTCGGAGAGGATGCTGCAGGCTGCAGGGAGACGCTTAACCAAAACCCGGAGGCTGGAGGGGGTTGATGATGAGGATGACGACGGAGATGAAAATGATAAAGCTGGCAGTCATATTGATAATAATGAATAAAAAATAAAATAAAAACGTCCTCTTTCTTTTATGTATAGAGCCAAAAAGCTGATAAAGATATGCATCAAAGCACAGGTGCCAACCTGTTTGTCAGGCAGGCTGCAATAATTGGGGAGCTGCTTAGAAAAAAAAAAGGACACACTTGGAGAATTATGGCCCCGGAAGGAAGAAATAAAAAGAAATGGATAAACCAAGCTTACTATACAAGCTTTGTGCAAGAACCTCATATCTGGGTTTCAGAAAGAGAATACATTGTCTCAGCATATTTGTGCATTTTGGCGTTCCGCGCAGCGCTCTGTTGCGCTCCGCAGCCGACCAGCCGTCAGCGTTTGTCCCTCAGAAATAACCTTGACTGTCATTCTTAGCCTTCAAAGCTGCTTTAGCGACAGGGTGCGACCGAATTGCACCTGTTTTTAAAGTTTTCCTCCCTTATCTGTGATTTCTACTAATTTGTATTGAGCCTGCTGCGACCAGGTTTGTGAAATGACCCATTTAACTGATTCTTAAGTTTCAAAGCAGCAACATAAATTATACTGAATCGCCCATTAAATTGTACACAGAAGTATGAGCAGATGGGGATACAGCCATCATTTAATCCATTCTACCTTCTTATTAATACTTAATTTTAGTTTAGTATAGATAAGGCTCAACTGAAGCCCCAGCTCTCTGCATGTGTTGCTGCTTCTGCTGCTGATGAAGGCTTGATCTGGAGCTGAAGCACAGTGCAGCCTATCACGGTATACACTGCCATCTAGAGGTGGATATTCACACGTGCTCCTATCCAGCTTTGAGTTTCAAATCTCTCCTAACTTCACAGCTCTGAATCAAGATTTCACTTAAAGCTCTTGTGCAGCCATGAGAACAGCCTGTGCAACAGATTACACACAGAGTGACTTGGTAAGGAGCAATGTGCAAAAGGCCAGAAAACAAAAGTGAGAATAAGCACCAGTGACGGTAAATGGTGATGGAAGCGATGCAAAGGACAAGGGAGCCACACCGCTGAGGTGAGAACTGGGCTGCGAATCTCTCCTGAGAGTGTGGCTTAGTGCCCGGTCAGCAGTCCATTAGCACAACCAGCCTAGTGGCCTGACCTTTCTGCCTTCAGATTCAGCCATCAGTGTCCTTAGCTGGGAAAGAGCAGCCAAAGGAGGGATCTGTCACTTCAGTTTAAAGTCTGACACCCTGATGTGGAGGGGAAAAGTGACAACATAAGTGTCTTCGTAGTGAAACACTGTCTTGCTCCGTTGGCCAGCTGGAGTCATTAGTAACTCATCACCTGCTCTTACTTGCTCACTGGGAGTGTGCATACATCTATGGTGGGTTTTTTTCTGCATAACAGGAAATATATTCAACTAAGTGGAGCTGCTCTACCATAGCCATGTCTCTGAGGTGTTTTTGTGTGTTGGCACAGGGATAATTGCTTAATAATTAGGAAGAGAGTACATAGAGTAAACCTTAACAAAAATGAATTACTCCCACCTTCTGAAGTAATAATTAAGACACTTGTTATGATCACCAGCTTGAGTAATGCGATGAGTATGTGTCATGAGCTTGAAAAGAAAGAAATATTTTCTTTTTTCCTCTGACAGGAGCGTTGATCCCCAATGTTATGATCCTGGTCTTTTTCTGTGCATGGCTGTCTGCACACCTGTCTACAATTACACTCACCAATTTAAAAGAAGACATAGGAGGTTGATTTTCTCTGATTTGCATCAATATTGTGACATCTTTTTTTTATGTATTTACAGATTTTTTGACAAACCAAGTCTGAAGCTTGATTTGCCTACATGCTCAGGTTCAATTTTTCTAAGCCAAGTCCTGAATCTGCCTTCCACGCCTCTGTAACAGCTTGCTCCGAGATTCCCCCTTCTTCCATGGTAACTCAATATAAACCATGCTCACTATAGCCTTCACACTCTCCAGCCCTCTGTCATCCCTACCAAGACACAAACAGTTCACCCTTCCAAACTCAGCCAAACTAATAAGAACCCAGGACCCTTCGCTAAACACTTTCTCCAATCTACATAACAGTAAGCTGTGTTCCAACTTCAGCCATTTCAAATTTAAGCTCAAACCACTTTACAGGCATCACTACCATCACCCCCTGCATTTCAAAACTTCCCAGAACCATTGGATCCAGACTGTACCCCGTTCGCTTCTTATCACTGTGAATCAACCCTTTATTTGTCCACCTGTATCCTTGCAGTGAGTTTGCATGTGCTACAACAAATAACAGCAGTACCATTAATGATGATTCCAAATTGACCTTTCACTCATATTTTGTCTTTTTTTGTTGTCTTTTTTTTCGTCAGTTTGAAATGGATTCAGTTAGTCAATTAGCGAGTCATATCACTGACAATCAGAACAAGTGATGAAAAAGGCAGGTATAATATAGCACAAGTTACTGAGAATTTCTATCAGTCTCCAACTGAAAAGTTAGCCTAGGGAAAGTGTCTATACCTAAGGCATTATGGTTCCGCATATACCAGGTGCAGTCAATCACACTGTTCACCTTGGTTTGATTTCCACACTGACTTATTGACTTGGCCAAGCTGCTGGATTGACCTCATGAATAACACAAGTATAAATATGTTTATCTTTCATGTCCATTAAAGAACAAGGTCAAACAGGTAATTTATGTATGTACTGAATAAAGCAAGGTCTGGTGTGTATGAGACAAAAAATATAAATTGATGGTGTTACAGTATTTGTGATGATAGAAGTAAACAGGGAAACAATCATGGCTAAAACAGACATTTTCCAATTTGTTTTATTATTGTATAAATACACAACTTTCCTGTTTCTAAAAGAAAGTATCAGGTTAGGTAAGGTTAGATATGATAAACAAAATCATTTTAAGTTGCTAAATCTCAGAAAATTATTATGGATATTCGTTTAGACAAAATGTTTTATTTTTTTCAAAGTCAGAAGTTTACATGCATTAGAAAAAAAAACCAAAAAAAAAAAAAACCAAAAAAAAAACAAAAACACATACCTCCAAATTAATTTGGCTAAGCCTAGATGATGATCCTTCTGCACTGTATGATTCTAATTCACTTAATTAGGGCCAAGTCTATGAATATATCTTAGTGCAATACCTCAAACACTATTTCTTTGGGTGTCAGCATGAAGACTTAGAAATAAATAAGGCAAGATATCTAAAAGAGAATTGTGGACCTGCACAAGTATGGGTCATATTTGCCCACAACCCCCAGAAGCCTGAAAGTGCCATATATACGTATCTGTTCAGGTTTTTAAAGCATCACCGTAACCTTCATCAATCATTCCTATCAGTATGGAGCTGGACTCTGTGTCCTAGAGATTAAAGTCTTCTGGTATGAAATGCACATATCAACCAGAACAAAAGCAAAAAACTGTGTGAAGATGCTAGCTGAAGCTGATAGGAGTCCATCATTATAACAGTGAGATGAATCCTGTAAGGACGAGGGCTGGAAGACATCTCTGCAGGTCAGCAGCCATTTATTTCAAAGCTAAATAAAAAGCGAGGTTCAATTAGCAAACTCACTCAAGGAAAAATGAAAAATACCTTCCAAGACAGGTTATGTCACATTTAGAGAAAAGGTTGGGACATCTGATAACACCAAGAAACCAAAGTATATCATCACAAAGTTCTAATTTTAGTTATATAGACTTTGTTGGGCCAATTCTCTCAGGGGAAATTGTTAGAAAATGCAGAAGCTTGTGAAAGAACAACAAAACATTTCTCCAGATTCATGTAGTCTAAAGGCAATTAAACTAAAATGCTAAGAAAATATAAATAAACCTTTGAATTTGAGAAACATTTAAGAGATCTACCAAACTATATTTACTTTCTCATTTAGCAGCTAGAAAAAAATTGGAAGACTTTCATTGTAATAAAACAGGTAAAATAAAAAGAAACTGTCTTTTGAAATGCCTGGTTTCAATTCCCTTTGAGGGTATGGGGCATTTAAAAAGAAAGCGTTATACTACTTGAGAAAAAACTTATAAAATTTAGGCTATGCTCATGAAAATATTTCGCTTTTTTAATTAAGTATGGGCAGACAAAAAAATATTGCAAAGCTTTGCTTTATGAGCAAAAGTCATCTTATTTGTTAAGTTCATTCAGTTTTTTTTTTTTTTTTCGCTTTCGCTCTGCCCTGCTAGCTATGTGAGAAACGGTAATTAGGACCCATTTAAAACTGTGTGAGCTGCTTGACTCTTAGTTCTTTCTTTATGCAGAATACAACCACTGTAAAGACTTAACTATTTAGAATCAGTATTATACATATAAGTTCCACTGTTCAGAGTGATTGAACAACAAAATAAATAATGGAATATTAGCGATGTATACCTATTTTTAGTCAACACTTCCCACCTCAGTTCATGTAATCAGCTGACTCAGAGAGAAGCATCATTTGGGCTGTTATCACTTGAGCTGAATCCTGCTGCTTGTTATACTGCACCACCTGCCAACCAAACAAATTTGCAATTAAAATTGTACTTTTGAAATAATGAAGTCCTTTGAATGATTTTAATTATTGTAGCAACTATACTTTATTTTATAAAGTCTACTATATAGAGAAAAAAATTTGAATTTCAAATAAAATCATTCCCCCTACTTCTTAGAATATTTAGCTTTTTATGCTATTTCTTTCATTTGTTAGGTAAAATAACATTTGATATCGTTCTTTTTTTT